GGTGTTGGTGCTGGTGGTGGTGGTGCTGGTGGTGGTGGTTACAGTGGTGGTAGTAGCAGCAGTAATAGAAGCTGCTGAGATATGGTAGTGAGGGTAAAATTTCAACCTGATCGGCTCTGGATTATGCTCTGGGGATTGATAGTGTGAACTTCCAGAGGCGTCTGGGCGGGTCCTGGGAGCGCAGGCTCAGGGATGTCTGCCTGGCCCCTCACCTCCTGCCGTGGTCCTCCCTCCTTACCACTCTTTGTGGCCGCCATGCACTAGCAGCGAATGCCTCGGAGCCAGCTGGCCAAGGCCTGCAGCTGCGAGCTCCTGCCTCAGGCTGCACATGTGGTGTGGGGTTGCAGTGACGAAAGGCCTCGCAGCACAGCGTGCGTGGCGTGGCGGGGGCTCCCACGTAAGTCACTGCTTTACACTCCACAGTCGTGACCGTGGACTACCTAGCAGCCATTCGAGATCCATGGTGTGATTCGGAGGGTCGTGACGACAGCCACGGGATGCAGCCTACTGCTGTGTGCAGGACCAAGAGCTGTGGTGTGCTAGACATTCTGTGTACTTGCCTACCTGGTAGTATTAAATGTTTGTAAATGTTGCTCTTGAGTAAGACATTTAAATTTTATTCAATTGTTAAAAACCTTACAAAATGCACTGATGATTGGAGGTAGGAAGTGACTTCAGGACTTTTCACATGTTTCTCTTGAGAGCACTCACTTCAGGTTGGACATAGTGTCCCATACCTGGAAATCCAGGGCTGGGGAGGCTGAAGCAGTCAGACCTTGGAGAACTTAAGGCCCATCTGGACTACACAGAGACCCTGCCTCAACACCTGCCCCACCAAAAGAGAGTGGTCAATCCAGGAGTGAGTCAGGGTTGTGAGGAATGAGCGCGATTTCCATTCAGCCCTTTTACAACTGCAAGAGAAGGGGGTGGTGAGGATTACGCTTCTAACAGGATATCAGTAATCTCTCTTAGATACCTTAAACACAAATTTATGTTACCACAAACCACTAATCACAGCTACAGATAAAAACCACCTAGGGGGTGGTTAAGGGCTGCGATTAAGAAGCTTCCAGAGTTATTAAATCATAATCTAAGGTATTGTAAAGCCTTGCCCACGGCCTCTGCACCACTTGCCACGAGGCTCGTGGCTATATTTGTGCATTTCCTCAACTTTAAGTGGGTTCTGGCTGGTAGAGAAATCCAAGACAAGTTCTGCAGTAGTTAAGGAGTACCTGGGGCCACCCTGCGGCCAGCACTCTGTGGACCTCGGTAGGAGCAGGTCGAAGGCAGGGCGTCCTGTGGAACCACAGTGGAGGCCTAGCGTGGGTGGGAGTGAGGCGGAAGGAGGGGCTGCCTGGGGGAGGGGATCTGGAGAGAACTGTGAGGCCTGCGGTTGGGGCCGGTGCAGCCCAGGGTTGGGAGGAGCGATGGGAGGAGGCCGGGATGCGAGGGCTTGTGTGCTGTTTCCAGAAGAGCTAAAACTGATCCGGAGACCATTCCTTCAGACCGACAGGGAGCACATGTTTAAGTATACAATTGAGGATCTAGTTTCGCCTTTCGTGGCAGGAGTAAAATGGGAGAGGACTCCTAAAGAAAAAGGGGCAATACATGTTCTGCAGATCTTCATGCGGGTTTTAACATCTAGAAGCCAGGCTGGAAGCAGCTCAGGCTTGAAACAGGTTTCTCTGTCATGCCTCCGGTGTCACACATCGATTCGGAGGTGGGGAATCGAACAAGGAGGGGACAGCGGCATGCAGGACCCAGGTCTGAGCAGCGAGGCTCACAGACAGTCTTCCAGGTTTTCTGATTTTCTGTGCTGTGTCTCCCAGCAAAGCATAATTGTTACATGGTATTTGGTGACAGTGTGGGAAGCGCAGCCCGGGCCTGCAGACTGGCTTACTACTAGCCCTGCGCCAGGGGCAAGGTGACTTTGTGTCATCATATTTCATCTCTTGAGAGTACAGAAACAATAAAATTAGTCTGACTTGCTCTACAGCCCCGGAATGACTTACAGTCTCTGTGCTAATCTTGCACACCTTTAGTTGGTTTCAGCAAAAATTATATACATATATATATATAATCTTGTGGGCTATATTTTGATGAAAGATCAAAGTTGATAATACAGAAAAATGTTACTGCCAAACAAGGACTTGAAAATATGCAAGTCATATATTGAAATAATTTCTTAGTGTATATGGGCATCATATGTACCATATAACCCATGCATATTTTCACTGCTTTAGAATTTTCAACTCTAACATTTTAGGCGTAAGTGTATGACCCTGGCATAGTGACATAGCTACAGATAAGTGTGATCAATCGATGACCGTAAACGACCTAAGAGTTTTTAGTAACTCTACCCTCCCTTAGACAGAGCATAAATAATGTACACATAGCCCTATACAAAGGCAGTTCCTACAGGTAGAGATCGTGTATCAAGTATCCAGGTCTTATGTCTAAGTCTCTTCTGAAAACACTCAACATAAATTCCACATACATTCTGACTCTTCATTTTATATGCCTAGATGGTCAGTGGAATGGTCCGACTCCTGACGCTGAAGGCATTTGGTATTTCTAGGCTCTTTCTGCATCTGCTGCTGTCCACCTGCTCATAAAGTTCCGGGCTTGCCTTGCAGCCAAGGGCCTGACTGAGGGGCTACACATAATGGTTCCAAAGCACACTTGTTTTCACCTGGAAGTAGTGACTATCCAATTCCATTCACCATGGAACTGGGATAAAAACAACCACCTGAACGCCGAGGCAGTGGTTATAGTGGAAAGAGGCACTAGCCTTTGCCCCGCCCTCTCAGTTCCTGCCTGAGCTCAGCAACCAGCAAAGCTTGCTGACCCTCCTCCCTCATTCAGCAACAAAGAGAAGATACCTTCAAAGTCAGCGGAGAGAGCCGTGTCAGCGCAGCGTTGCCCGCTGCGGTCTAGGAAGCCGTCTTCCAGAACCACCGGGAAGAATTTTGGCTTGCAGTTGCCAGAGCTCTCTCCATTAAAGCGCTTCACAATTCTGGGGCTCAAAATTGGAAAATGTGGAATCAAACAAGAACCTGAGGGCCAGGACTTCCAATGGTTACGAAGACATGCTGGTCCCGTGCTAGTGCTTGTTCCATTACCCGTTCCTTCTCAGCGCCACGGGAACACCGTGGCCACATTTATTCTAACATTCTCAGTTGTAACAAACGATGCCATTTAAACACTTTCATAGTTGTCATGGTTTATAAAACAACTGTGGGAAAGGACTTCTCCTCGTTAAGGCATTCTCTTATGGGAACATCAACACGCCCACACGGCGACTGAGGAGGGCAGACTTGGGCTCTCCCTTACCTAGCACAGCCTCTCGGGAGAAGGCGTGGGTGACAGTGGCAACTGACATCCACATGTATCTCTACAGCAGCAAGAAAGACCACAATCTTGAAGTAACTTACTTCTTGTTATAATCCTTTTTATAGCACCTGAAATAGAGAATCGCTGTAGGACACGCTAATTAGCTGGGGTTAATATTTCTGAACTGTATAATACTTCAAAGATTGTACTGGACCCCACATAAATACACATTAACTGACAAACAAGTTAATTTTAAATTCACTGGAGGTATTTTTGTATCAACATGGAATAGACCAGGTCCAGGAAGCATACGTGTGAACAGCCGAGCTGAGCCGTCCTAATGAGGCGGCGGCTTTGGGAGCTGCCTGTGCACATGGAGACGCGGCGCCTGGCAGGGAGAAGAGTCTGTACTCCGCGCTCTGCCGCGCACTGCTCGTGAGGTCCTGCGCAAGTTGTCCTGCTCCTTGCTCTCTTCATTGTAAGACAGAGTGGCGGCTGCTTTGACCACTAGAGGCAATTCCAGCTCATGCTGCCGTGTACACTGTGCTCATTTGTCCTTCGTTCAGCAAGCCAGTTGAGTAGAGTGGAGGGGCTCTAACCTGCTCTCAGACATAGCGCCCTGTTTCGCACCCGGGGCCTGGGCTCACACTGTGTGCGGAGACAAGGGTTTTGAGCAACGTTCGGAGCAACACACCTGCACTCGCATGAAAGCACAGACATTGGGTGTACTGGCCACTTGCTGCCAGCAGATGCAGAGCCCCTGAGGTCCGGGGACAGAGCCAAGCGGGTTGTGTTCATTGTGCCTCTCTTCCTACCCTGCTCATCAGTTTTGAAATGGGGCAATCACATGAGACAGCTGCATGCAGGGAAAGGAGACAGAAAAAGGACAGAAGATGGCTGGGGCTGGGCCAGCCGCCCCTCCTTACCTCCTCCACACGACTGGGAGCACTTGGTGAACCCCTCGTGGGCCCAGTCATATAGCACGTCGAGCTCCTGCAGGCCACCCAAGAGCCCATCCGTGTCATCGTCTGTGTTAAATTCAGGAAACTCCCCGCTGCACGGTCCCGCATAACAGGCACGCTGGGATGCCGGCCTGGGCCCTTCGCACTCGTCAGCAGGCAGGTCAGCCACGGACTGTGAGAAAGACAGGAGCACCTGGCACCTGACTATTCGCACCTGGATCCCCACACCACACGTGACTGTGCAGGCCGACCAGGCCTCTGGGACGAACCTATAGTCGGCAAGCAGACAAGAGGACAGGATGAGAAACCCCAGGTGGGCGAGTACAGGAGTAGTGCCAGGCCACATGGCACCTGCCTCCACTTCCCAAGCTGTCCCAGGGTGTGCGCAGGGCTCCCCTCCCCTGCCCTGGCCATGGGAGCTTCCATTTAGCTCACGAGCTCCTTGGTCACTGATTCTAGATTCTGATGTGAGTCACATGAACTCCCAGCTGCGAGACACTCCAGGGCCACCTGCTCAGGCGCCTGCATCCACGTGCGGCTCTGAGCACCTGGACTTGGAGGTCTTCCGCTGAGCCCCAGCACGTGTGCCTCTTATAGAATTGCGGCTATTCTCACAGCAGCAGCCAATGCTGACGCTAAAACCCAAAGCAAAATGAGCCCTAGAAGATATTGAGGAAAGAGCTTTCCCTTAGGCTGGATCTTGCGCTTGGTAACTCTTTGCTTTTCTGCTTAGTGCGTTCCCCAAGATGTATTTATATGCATAGAGGGCTTTTTTGGTCAGCTTCCGAGAATGGCACAGCCTTTTTCCTTGCACATTCTTTGAATCAGTCTGAACTCCAGTTCTTATTGGAGAGAAAAGCCATCCATAGGCGTTACCGGAGGTGAGAGCGTTTGCACCGATGCGGATTGGTTCAAGACCCTCTTCCTCCCACTCCCTGAGAGAAGCTATGCTGGAAACGCGTTTTCCCTTGGAGTTTCCCTGGAATGTAGGAAAATAACCAAGACTAAAACAAGGTTTCTTTTTCCTATTAGTCACCCATGGCCATAGCTGCAATGACCTTGTGAACGACCTTGGGAGAAAAGCCTGAGGGAGCCACTAACGTTGGCAAACAGTGTAATGATGTGGAGAGAAAGCTTCGGGACAAAGCTTTATTTTCCGAGCTCCTGTTGCTTCCTCACAGGGCACTTTGCTGCAAGGGTGAAAACCTGACTTCCTAACCTTGAGTTAGGCACAAAGGGAAAGAGCTGATAAGAGGGTCGAAGTGAATTTTTTTTCTTTTTTGCACAAAGTCTACAGGGTCTCACTGCAAAGACTAGGCTCGTAGTGGTCCTCCTGTTTCGTAGTCTTAAATCCCAGCAAGTGCAATGGCTCCTATCCCGTTCAGGGAAATAGAAATTCCAATTGCAAATTAATCCAACTCTTCACACTGCAGAGCATACTACAGAGATGAACCCCGGGCCGAGCCTGGGCTGCATGGGCAGCAGGGGCCGCCGGAAGCCGGCCTTGGGCAGAGCGCACAGCTGAGGCCCCACAGCCCCCTTCACAAGAGCAAGCCCCAAAGTAGTGCCCAGAAAGCTTCGTCACAGCTTTCCCATGTGCTCTCCCTCTTGTGTCTGACTTGTCTATCTTCCGGCACATAGACAATGTGGGGAAAATATCCTGAGAAGATTTAGTTCTGTTCTCTGTGAATAATGACACCGGCAGGAGCATTTTGGAAATATAAAACCAAAACCCGCAATCGAAATGATTTTAACTGTTATCATGCACTCCTACCCAGCTGCCGGTCCTGGAACAAGAGTGATGACAAATACGCAGCGCTGCGGGTTACCACACGGGTGTAAACAGAAAGGAAAATGCACGTTATTCTGTGTATCAGGAAGGCTTGAAGGCAATGATTAGCCTGCAGCTTTCACAAAAGTGTAACCACAAATGCCTCTTTAGTAATGCAGGGACAAAGCTTCTCAATAAAAAGGACGCAAGATCTCAGAGAGCTGCATTCTAGTAAGTTTTCCTAAGCGGCAGGGATTACCCTTCAGTGACTTACAGTGGATCTCTTTGTATCCAGCACCACAAAACAGAATCTTAAAAGGTAGATTTTTTTTCCTCCAAAGGTGAATGGCCTCTCCACAATTCCACGGGCCAAGGCCATCCACAGGGTCCCACCTGGCTTCAGCCCGGCTGAGTGGGCTGAAATGCAGCACCTGTCAGCTTCCTGCTCTCAGGCGAGGAGGGCAGGTCTGGGCCCCGGAAGAGCCAGGCCCAAGCCCGCCTGCTGGGCTCCTGTGTTCCTTGCAGCAATGGTATGCACGGGTATGTGGAAGTAGTGGCTGTAGGTAGTCGGACCCCTCCATCTCGGGCCTGGCTCAAAATAAATCCTCTTCCTTTTACCAAAATAAATGGCCTCTTTCGATTTCATCAGTGGTGAACAAAGGAACCTGCTTGTAGGAAACCAGGTGGGAACATTGGCAGTGGCTGTTTCGCGCATGTGTTCCTGGATCTCGTAAGGAGGCAGATGTAGAAAGCTGCAGGGCAGAGGCGAGGGCGTGGTGAGGCCAGAGTCTAGACTCGGCCTTAGAGGTGCCAAGCACCCTCCAATGCATGGGTACTCCTCAGACTTACCTCTTTCCACACGTATAAGCTCAAAGAACAAACTGCTGACATTATTTGTGTTTCATCTTCCAAAGTGAGTTCTGGGTAAAGAATATAAATGACGCACCAACAGGCCGTCAGCTCCCCGCCTGAAACATGCATGACCACCCTCGGTCTTGTTCCAGGACCAGGAAAGCTCTCAAGCTCTCAAGGTCAGACAGACACTGCTGAAGCTCCCGGGATCTGCTGGAGGGGGTGAAAGGGGGTGAAACGTTGTTGTTCTTCTCCTCCTCCTTCTCCTTCCCATTTACAAAAGCTCTATTTCTGGCTTTTTTCAATTCCTTCCTTTCCTTCCATTTTCTCTCCTTCATCTCTTGTTCTCCTTACCATTTGGGAAGGTCTCCCTGCTTATGGTTATCTGTGTTTTACTTTATCCTTTATTTATAGTTTGGGTTTCTTATATAAGAAAAGCCGTGTGATATTGAAACTTGCGTCTGATTTATTTCACTGAAATAAAGTGAAATAAATTGTGGTCTCCAGGTGCACCAATGTACTCACAAAAGCCTCCAGTTCACCCTTATGGTACTCTATTATGTATGAATATTACATCTTCATCGTCACTAATCTGTTGATGTTCATGTTTCCAAGATCCAGCTATGATCAACTGTGCTTCTATAAACTTGGGTATACACGTGTCACTGTAATCTGACGACTTCAGCTCTTCCAGGAGGATACCTAGAAGGGGAATACCTAGAAGAATAGCATAGAAATGGAATTTCTATCTTAATTTTTTGAGGAATCTCTATACTGGTTTCCATAGGCCTTTGGCCCTACCAGCATGCGTTGTTTGTGTTATGATTTGATTTCTTGATGACAGCCATCATTTCTGGAGAAAGGTGGTCCTTCTCTGGCATTTCTCTAATGGCCAGTGATGCTGGACACACTGGAGGAAATACAGCCTCTTCAGTAAGTGGTGCTGAGAAAATTGAGTATCTACATGTAGAAGACTGAGTCGAGACCTTTGTATTTCAACATGTACTAAACTAAGATCAAACTGGATCAAAGATCTAAATGTTAAAGCAGAAAGACTCAATCTGCTAGAAATAAGATAGGTAAAACTCTTGAAGTCAGAGGTAGAGGGAGGACTTTCTGTGCAGAACCCCAGTGGCTCAAGAAATAATACTGAGAATCAACTAATGGGATCACATCAAATTAAAAAGCTTCTGTATGTCAGAGAAAACAACCAACAGAGTGAAAATATATGTACAGAATGAAAATTAATTTGCCACATACTCCTCACACAGGGGACTAACAACTAGAATATGTAAAGAGCTCAAAAAAATCAGACCACCCCAAAAGACAATCAAAAAATGGGCAATCAAAATAAACACTTCTCAGAAGGAGTAAAGATGACCAATAAATACATGAAATCTATAGATTTTAAAGCAGCCCCACTAAATTGTGTGTGTGTGTGTGTGTGTGTGTGTGTGTGTTATTTAGGGTTAATAGCAAAAACCAATAACCATCTGCTTGATGTCACCCAGACAAGAGTCTTCTCAAATGTAAAACAGCCTTCCTGACATGCCTCCCAAGCCGCGGTCCTCAGGCCTTATCAGGTTCACACCAATTAGAAACAATTTGGTTCTTAAGCGGTGCTGTCTCTTGGCTCTTGTCTTTGTCTAGTGCACACATGGTATGATATATTTTCTTCTGTTGAAGAAAGGAGATCATATTTCAAAAGAAATCCATCTGATAGTACAATTGACTAAATGAAAAAGAGCTGTTCTGTACATGAAGCTTTCCCCCATGTCTCTAGACCTCCCAATTCTGTATTTTCTGTCTTGATTTTTCTGGCCACAAGTGGGAGGAAGCTGGGCCAAGGAGAGGGCAGGCAAGTCAGAAGCTTACATTTCATTTGTAGATGTCTCTAGCACTTTCTGAGCCCAAACCTTTCAAATGGCTCCTGTAAAACAGAGCACAGTCATTTTTGTTTTTAAAATCAGTATATGAATCCTAATTTAAAAGTTCTTTTTGTGAACTGCATGATTGTCAGATGAATGAAGAACGGTTGGCTCTTTAAAAGATTGGTATAAACCAGGAGTGATGGTATGGCTGCTCGATTTAGTCTTCCCGTGTCTAGGAAAAGCCGTGCCTGGGCAGGAGGTGGTCGGTGCTCCCGTCTGGTACTCCTATGGAGAGTTTCATTATGCATTTCATTCACAGAATGTTCATTCTTGGAGTATTCTCTCAGTCCATTTTAAGAAATAGAAAACAGTGACATCAAACTCAGTCATAAGATCCCTAGGAGGTTATGCTAGTAGTGGCTATTATGGAGTCAAAAGCATGCACAGAAATAATAAAAACAACCACTTCATGAACTATAATGCTAAACAGAAACAATGTCCTAGTGGGCCATCAGCGTCACGTCATTACAGGCATCAGCCGGAGTTAGGCTTCAGCTCCATGGGCACGTGGCCTGCAGCTAACGCATCATCGCTCCCCTTCTTCTTATCCATTTTAAGACTCTCTTCCTCTCTATAAATATTTGTTCAAAAAATATCATTGAGATTAAAGTACAGATTGCTTTACAAGTATATTGCTTGGATGATGTAACTAGTCTTGTGCTCTAGTTTCAAAACACAAATTAAAATTTACAGGAAACCACATCAGAGCTATTTAATTTTGGTAGCTTGTGGTCATTACACTTTTGAGCTATGAATCTATAGGTGTGGATTTCTTTGTTTGCATGTATGTTTTATATGAAAGTGGTGGCATGGCATTACAGTGAAGAGAGAGGAGGGAATCAATTGAATAGCTTAGGGGAAAAGTCATGAATGACATTAAAATAGATCAAGAGGATGGCCAGATAAGCATCCTTTGTGTTTATCTTAGTCTTTCTTTGATGTTGAGCTGTTTCACTGCTCCGTGAGTTACACAAAATTGATAATGTAGATAGTTCTTGCCCATAGAAATGCATATTAATTTTGTCTAGTAGGATGGGATGGATCATTGCCCTATCTGTAGACCATTTTTCATCCATTTGTAAACTCATTTACCATGGTCATTTACTTACGTATACATGATTCTCTTAAATTACATTTGAGTTGGTTGCACTGAGTCACTGGTTCTCTCATTAGTTAGTGAGGGGCAGTAGTTTCCCGTATAGGGCATTTACCTGTCACAGTTTTAGTTAGCCATACTCAAATATGGCCCAAAAATATTAAACAGAAAATTCCAGAAATAAATAACTCATAACTTTTATTAGAGTATATTAGTATAATCATTCCATTTTATTATTAGTTATTACAATTAACCTCTCACTATGCCTAACTGAAATTAACCTTCATTATAGCTACATATGCATAGGAAAGATACAGGATATATAGGGTTCTTGTACTTTTTTTTCTTATACTTTTTATGTTTGAGGTATCTACTGAGTCTTGGAATTGTCACTGTAGATAAGAGAAATCCACTACAAATAAAACTTTTGACAGATGTTAATTTTATATTTGAAGAAGAAACATGGGATTTCCCTTTTAGGAATTTTATTAATGGCCACAGAAGAATCTAGAAAATAGTATATTGAAAATATAAACTATTATTTGACTCTAGCCAAAATCCTTTTACATAAATATGTCATGTAGAGGCAAACAATACGGACTAGATTTATAGTAGCACATTGTCCCACCTCCCTCGTATCAGTCAGCTGTCCTATTGCTAGGACACAAGATCTGACACTGAAAGTTTAGAGGAGGAAAGTTTAATCTGACTCATGGTTTTAAATCCTGGGTTTCCTGTCTCCAAAGCAGAACTATTATGGCAGAAGTGTGGTGGAATGAAGATGCTTGCTTCATGGCAGCCAAGAAAAGCAAGGACACAGCACTAGAAAGACAGGGGGAGGGCCTAGACATGCTCTCAGAGGCCCTCCACGCTGCGCTGAGCTATGTGGAGATGTGCCCGCCAATCCCTGGGTGACTCCTGTGCAATCACAAGTCCAAGTATCACCTGCCAGCGCTAGGCAACCTGACACCCCAACACGTCTCCTGAAGCTGTATTTACTCCGAATGCCTTCAGGGCAGGTTTGGCTGGCTTGAGTTGCGGGGATTGAACCACCACAACCTGAGCCTGACTGCTTTGTTGAAGCAGCCACTTGAAGAACTGAGCTAAGGGGCAGGCCTCCCTGAAGCTGTATTTAATCTCCAAACAAACACAAGGTCATAATTCTTTTTTTTTTTGATAGTAAAATGACCTAAGCTTGATTATAATTGTAAAATTTTGTCAATGTAGTAAAATCTATTGAAGCTTACATTTTAAATTTATAAATTCTATGGTACATAAAGTTTTAGCTTAATAAATTTTTATTTTTAAAAAAGGAAATTCTGCTTTAAGCATTAAGATGAACATATGCTTCTGTCATGCCTATTAAATGGATCTTGAAGCACTGGATCCCTGGTTGAATGTTGAAGATATACACACTGGTTTGAGGGGAGTTGCTTTCTTTAGAAATCTTTTTGTAAATCACTCTTCTTGAGAAGTTCTCCTTTTCGGGATTTATCCAGGTTTTCAAGAAACTGTTCGAAAACTTTCACATAAGGTGCTAGACTGGTCTTCTTATAATCTCTGGTTCTGTGTTTGATATCAGATCCAGTTTCGTTCTCTACTTTTTCATTTTCATTAGTGGAAATTACACTTAATTCATGGCAAATGGAGCTTATTGTTGGAACAGTAAAGGGATCAAACTGATCTACTTTCTGTAAATCAATAGGCACAGAAATCCGAGCTGTCTTAGGGTGAACACTGAAAGGGCTCTTCAGTAGATGATTGATTCCTTTGCTAACATTGATATCCAGCCGTGGAAAACAATATTCAGCATAATCTCACACTCCAGCCAAGGTCCACATTTGTCATTTTTGATACTTTTTTTTCAGACGCTCCCAACGCTGAAGTGAACTGTGAGACTTCTGGAAGTCTGTCTGAAGTTCTTCATGAATTGTCCCAGGAACAAGAGCTAAAATCTTATCCCAGCTTTATTTTCAAGAATATCTTGATCAACCAATGCATATTTTTCAAAGTATTTTTTAATTATATTTATAGATCTTCTGACAAAAGGGTGAATTTTTTCACTTAGTTGAACTTTCTTTTTAACGTCCTGACCACCCTTTACAAGACTCAAATATTCAACTATCCCAGAACGTACTGCAGAGGACAATTTTCTAACTGATTCATCACAGACCCAGCAATGAACACCTCTCCTTCCAGAATATACCCAGAGATGATGCTTAAACCCAAAGCCCTCCTTTGGCGATCGGTCTATGATGTGTATGGCCATTGTCATGAGGGTCCAGCACTTGGAGCATACGTCTGCAAAGCTATAGCATGTTCTCACATCATCATCGTCTGTCATGTCAATGTCAAACACCAGTTCCTTCTCCTGAGCCTGGAAGGCTCCCAGCTTCACTGTATTATGTTGACTGGGTCTGTGAGCATATACTGCGCCTATATCACTCTTGTATGGATTCCTTTTCTGCATTTCCTTTTCCAATTCACTCTGGTTGTTGAAGGATTGGTAACGAATGTAAATATCATCTTTCAATGTGAATGAAAATTCTCGGTTTTGAAAGTAATTCTTTACCACTCCGCCGTAGTTGAGCCAGCGATAGTACTGGGAGTAGGGGGAGAGCCTCCGGTAATAAAGCTTGAGCAGCTCGGGTAGCTCGGCGGGGTCAAACGACTCCATAGCAAAGAGACCTTTCAGTCAGTAACACAGCAAGGACTGGCGGGAAACGCGCAGCCGGCTCACAACGTCACAATTCTACCGAACACTATACAACTATCATTCCTGCAACTAAAGATACAATAATCCTTTGTCAAAGTTTCAAAAGTTACAGTGCTTTTAAAAAAATGTCCAAGGCCGCTCTCTTATGAGACTGTAAATAAACTATTAGCTACAAACTTCTATAAAGTCAAAATCAAGTTACACAATCCCAAGATACAACCGCACAGGTTAAACACTTCTATTCCAAAAGGGGGAGGTGGAGGGCTAGAAAAGAAGTGGACCAGAGCAAGACTGAAGCCCGCAGGACAGCCGTTACTCCTGCGGCTCCATCTCGGGCGTCCTGGACGCAGGGCGGTAAAACGTGGGCTCGGGCAGCACCACCTCGATGCTTTGCCCGCTGCGCACGCACGGCCTGCCTTCCTCGGCGCACATCCCGCGTTCCTGGCGTCTCCGGCTTCCCGAGGTCCCCACGGCACCTTGGCTCCATCCTCACCTAGACTCAGGATTTGCCTCAAAATTGGGGTGGAAGCCCCCTGCCCACACAGCTCTTGCATTCTGCGTGCGGGTAAGCCAGCATCGTGCGGGGCGTGCCCAGAGCTGGCTGGGCAGAAGCAGCAGCCAGGCGTCTCGGGCCGCGGCTCGTCCGCCTCTGAGTGCCTGGCCGCCCAGCACAGCGAGCTGGCTGCTGAGGAGCCTGTTCCCTACAAGACCCCCGTGGAGCCGCGCTGCCGGGGAGTCCCTTCTCAGAGGAAAGGTGGGCGCTCTGCAGCCCGCGCCTGCGCTGCTGGGCTCCTGCTGACTGCTGAGGAGTTCTCGGGAGTCTTCCTTCTTGTTGCGCTACGAATTACTGGTTCTCTGTAATGACACTAATACCGTAAGCAATAATCTCCTTTGCCTTCAGCTTTACATGTGGTTCCTCTGGGACCAAAATGTAAAACTGTCATCATGTTTTGCGCTGTTCCTTTTTCTGTCACTACGTAACTGGCTACATCGGCCAGCAGTACCCATGCCACAGCTGGAATGTTAGGCTATCCTGACATTTATTCTGCCAGATTAAATAGGCCCAGTCCTCAGTTCCAGTCTCTTGCAGAGCCTCAGGACATACGCAAATGCGGACGCACTTCTTTGCAGAGGGTAAAGTTCATGCCTTCCCGTCCAGGTGCCATCCACGCGTCCTGAGCCTAGCCTTCAACATGCGGGTCTCCGCTCACCCGAAGCCCCAGGTCCTGTGCGCGGTGCTTTAGGGCCTTCCTACCTGCACGTCCACGGCTTTCCGGACTCTTCCCTCCGAGCAGCTCCCAGGGCCCCGAGGCACACCGGCGCGAACGCGGACGAACGCAGCGCCAGTTCGCGCTTGCTGCGCCATCAGCCACCCCTCCCCTGGGACGCCGCACCTGACGCCCACCGTGCAAAGGAGGAGTGGCTTAATTAGCGTCATGGTTTCAGGATGATTCCATCCACCATCAGCGGGCTCCATGGAAGAATCACCACGGCGGCAGCCTTATCCCTCTACGAAGCCCGTGGCTTCTTTTTGGATCACGGAAGCTGTGAGCGCGAGGGGCCCGGCCTAACAGACCCAGGCCCGCCCCTGCAGGACACACCGGACACGCCCAGAGCTGCGCTGCTCCAGGGCGGCGGGTGGTGGGTGGGTACGCGGGTCAGTGCGCTGGCCCCTTTCCATTTTTTAAAAATCCAGCCTTCATTTGAAAAATCCTTTTAGTTTCATGAGTTGGCTCTCCTGATTCTGGGCAATCCTTAACAAAATACAGAGTGTACTTTCGAGGACAAAGCGCAGTTTCGTGAAGCTCGCCTGGGCATTTGGATCTGAAGAGGCTTTTGGACATGTGAGAAGGTCCTTGCTGCTGCTGGGTAATAAGAGTAGCCTTGGCTGTGCGGTTGGCAGCAATGTTTAGTTAATTAATTAATTAATTAATTAATTTTGCAGTACCGGGGATTGAACTCAGGACCCTGTGCTTGCTGGGCAGGTGCTCATTCTCCTGAGCCATCTCCCCGCCCTATCTGCAGCAATGTAAGGTGCCCAGTAGCATTACCAAGAACAGAGAAATTCTAGAAATTGCCACTAATAATGTCATATCAATTATTATACTCTCTTTAAAGTAAATTTTTAAAAAGTAAAAAAGACAAGAATTAAGGTTTATTGAAAGCAAGCGTTAATATTCAATTTTTTGTCCAATCTTGTATAACTATATCTGTTAATCTGAGAAACAGATTTGATGATAAAAATAGGTAATATAACAACAACCTTTGTCAATTTGCTATTGTTGATTTGAAAAATCTACCAAATCTATTGTTGTAGTATCCTTTTTCTGTCTTTTCATTGCTATGTTTTTGCTTTTGCTTTTACTCTTCAAAATAAAATAAAATAGATTATTAAAAAATGTGAATAACAATTTTTACAGAGCCACGAGTGCAGTGAAATTATTTGAGAAGAAACCTCGGCGCCTTCGCCGACGGCGGCCAGCCAGCAGCAGCGGGAGGCGCGGGCCGACTCCCGAGCACGCATGACAGTACCGCGAGAGCTACGCTTAGCGGCATTCTCCAAGGGGTGGCCTTACTTTTCTCATAACGATGAAGAAATTCATTCTGGGCTCTTTGGGAGGCTGCTGGCCTCTCTGCAAGAATGCCGCAATGATTTTTTGCAGGAAATATCCAGCCCCACAATCTGGAGAGAAATGCCGACAAGTTAGAAGTACATTCTCCTTCCAAAGCAGCGTCGTCCCGGGAGGGCACACTGTGGGGCGCAAGCTCTTTCCGTGCCAGCGCGCCCGGAGATTGTGGGCTCTTGCTTTCAGAGCCCGAAGCTGGTTCAGACGAGATCCGAGTCGTGCTAGAGGGTGGACATGTTGGCCGTCATGACGCTCTCTTCTTCAGCTGTAAGGATCTCAATCAGCGGGACGCAGTCAACAATCAATTTCCACGAATAGCAGCCAGTATCTGCTGGCCTTTGGCAACTCCAGTCTCACCTATCTTGGGCCCAGTGGCATACAACACAACTGACAACAGTTATACTCTTACAGTTCTCCTCTTGAATTACATGTCCAGCCTCTGGTTTCCTTCTCTGGCCACTGCTGTCCCTTTTCTTGTCCTTCTCCTGCCCTCAGACTCTGAATATTGTTGGGTCCAACGCTCAGTTCTGTAGTACCTTCCAATGCATTTTTCTATAATTCCTAGTTTCAAATACCATCAATGTACAGGCAATTTCTAAGTATTTAATTATAATTTTTTCTTTGAAAATAAAATTAATTTTATTAATCAAAAATTTATATAAGGATTCTTACATGCCACGTTAGTACCTATAAAGCACTAGTGCTTTATAAATTAAAGCTGTTAAATCCTAAGAAGAACCTGATAGGTAGAAACTTTTATTGTCCCCATGTAACATGTAGATGAAGAAGCTGAGGCACAAGTCACAGAGTGAGGTTTCATGCTCTGCTTCTGTTTAAAGGCATCTCTAACTTAAAATATTGAAACCAAGACTCAAGATTTCCCCTCTGTGAGCCATTCATTTCCCTGCCTTCTCCACTGCAGTAAATGTTTCTTCTGGCTACCCATTTGCTTAAGTAAAAAAGAAAAAAAATCAAGTGATGCCCAATGGTTTTGTTTTTTGTTCTTGTGGTAGCAGGGATTGAACTCAGGCCCTGGTGCTTGCCAGGCAAGCACTTTTTCTACTGAGCCATCTCCCCGCCCCTAAGTGATGTCCTTGAGGCTTCACCTTCTTTCACTTTCAATTGATCACCAAAATTTATCAATTCTCTTAAAAATATCTCTTAATCTCATTTTAATCTTTACTGCTACCACTTATTGAAGTAACAATGAAAATCACAGCTGGCATACTTTCTCCTTTATGTATCTTACAAATACAGTTCAGTATCACTCTGTTGGGAAATGGGTGCTTTGGGGGACATTGTGAAATGGCCAGTAGGGGTGACTGTGCCTTGCCTAGCACTCTTGGGGGTGTCTGGCTCTGTGGGTCCCTGGACAGGTGTTTTCTTTGGCTGGCCTATTTCACAGCTCCTTAGAGACCAAGGTTTCCTCACAGCGTTGGCAATGACACAGGTGTTTCTTGTCTGTAACGAGGGAGATTGAGCCTCTCAATGCAAATAATTTTGTCCACTGGAAAAATATAAACTTTCCTAAATCTAATTTTCATTTGTATTAGTTTTTAACCTCAGATCTAGTTTCCTGAATAATTTATGAAGTAAATACAATTTTGACATGAGTTCACATTTTGTATTTTCTTCACAATCATAGTCTTACCTTTAGGAAAATTCTATTTTAGTAGTACTATCTTCATTCCAAGTTTGAGACGATAAGATTGGGACCAAGATTTCCAAAGTCATATTCCTGAGTAAAGGGCAGAGTCAGGATCCCAAACCCGGTCCCTGAGTCATGCTTCTCACGCCTCTCTCCATCAGTTTTGGGGTTGCTAGGGGAACCATGGCCACCAAAGCGAAGACTGTCTCTTCTGCACAACCATGGTGCTACTGGATATCTTCTACTCTGGCCACTCTTTATATTACATTCTTTACATAACAGCCAGAGGTGTTTTAAAATGCCAAGCTTTTGTTTCACACTGCACCCAGACCAAGGGTGAGCTCCTTCCCAAAGTGACATCACACCATGCTCTGACATCATCTCCCACCACCTGCCCCGGCCATCACCCTCAGTTTATTTTCTCTTTTTTCATGTCCTTAAATCTGTGTAGCTCTTTCGTGACTGAAGGTTTGGGCCCACATGGCTCACACCTGCATAACCTCTTAATCCCAGTTATCCTCAGGCCTCGGTTCCCTTTCTCAGAGAGGACTTCCTTGATCCCCAAATCTACTGTGTCCCGTTAATCTCTGAGAGCACCCTTTCATTTTCTCAGTGCAGCAAGCAGGCTGTGGAAATCATGAAGTAACCATCTCTCTCACTGGGCCAAATCTCTCTGAAAGTACAACTTTAGATATTAGGTGCTTAAAGTTTTTTCAAATGAAT